TTCTGCAAGGGACATAGATTCATAGATTCATAGATTCTAGGACTGGAAGGGACCTTGAGAGGTCATCGAGTCCAGTCCCCTGCCCGCATGGCAGGACATGCGGACAGCAGAACAGCGTGCTGCCTTCCTGGAGCCAAGACACAAGAATCACTCTAAGATTGGATAGGCTTCTGAAGTCTACAGGCAAGGATCCATTGGTGATGGTTCATATCAGCGCTAATGATAGTATGTTTCAGGATCTCCTGCAGAAAACAGAAGACCTCAGGGAATTCAGAAGCATGCTGAAGAAGAATGTCCAAGCCATCCTCTCTGAGATCCTTCCTGTCCCACAAGCAAGGGAAGACAGAAGACAAAAGATTCCAGAAGTGAATTGCTGCCTAGGTAAGTGGTGTAGTGGGGAGAGCTTTGGTTTTGTGGAACTTTGGTCCATCTATGGGGATAGAGTAGAAGGGGAACCAATCTCCCTGGGCATAGGCTGGCTAGAGTAGTCAGGAGGGAGTTAAACTAACAGCAAAAGGGAAGGGTCAAAAGAGTGAAGATATAAACACTGAGTTAGCACAAAATATAGATGTTGAGAACAAAATTAATCAAGTAAACAAAGGAATGAAGATAAGAAATTCTTGAATTGCCTATACAGTAATGCTAGGAACCTGGGTAACAAACAAGAGGAATTCGAATTGCTCATATATGAGTATAATTTTGATCTAGTTGGTATTATTGACACCTGGTAGGATGATTAGCACAATTGGAATGCTAAAATCAATTATTATAACATATTTAGGAAGGATCAAGTGGACAAAATGGGAGGGGGAGTAGCTTTTGCTAGCTGACCTTGCACCAGCATCCACCTGCACCTGCCCAAGCCAACTCACAGCTGCGATGAGTTGCCCGATGACCTCCTGACAGTGCTGCACAACATTTTGATTAAAACACTAGAATAAGAAAATTTACATGGCACACACTAATTGGATTCAAAACTAGCTAACTGAAAGGTCTCAAAATGTAACTGTAAACTGGGAATCATCATCAAGTGGGTCTATTTCCAGTGGGGTCTAGCAGGGATCTGTTCTTGGCCCTACGCTATTTAACATCATTATCAATGCCCTGGAAGGCAAAAAAAATCATCACTGATACAGTTTGTAGATGACACCAAAATTGGGGGAATGGAAAATAGTAAACAAGACAGGTCACTGATTCAGAGAGATCTAGATCGCTTGGTGAACTGGGCTCAAGCAAACTATGCATTTTAATACGGCGAAGGGTAAATGTATACATCTAGGAGCAAAGAATGTAGGCCATACTTACAGGATGGGGGACTATGTTCTGGGAAGTGGTAAGTCTAAAGAAGATTTGGAGGTAATGGTGGATAATCTGATGAACATGATCTCCCAGTGAGACATGGTGGCCAAAAGAGCTAATACAATCCTGGGATGCATAAACAGGAGTAGAGAAGTTATTTTATCTCCATATGGTTCACTGGTGCAGCTGCTACTGGAATACTGTGTCCAGTTCTGCTGTCCACAATTCAAAAAGGTTGTTGATAAATTGGAGAGGATTCAGAGAAGAACCACAAGAATGATTAAAGGATTAGAAAACATGCCTTATAGTGGTAGACTCAAGGAGGTCAATCTATTCAGAGTAACAAAGAGAAAGTTAAGGGTGACTTGATTAGAGTCTATATGTACCTACCTGGGGAACAAATATTTAATAATGGGCTCTTCGATCTAGCAGAGGAAAGTATAACATGATCCAATAGGTGGAAGCTGAAGTTAGACAAATTCAGATGTGTCAGGGACCAGACCAGCTAGGAACAACTGCTGTCCTGCTCCCAGATTAAGTGCGCTGCTAGGCAACCAATGAGCCCAGCTGCATTGCCTTAGACCAGAGGTTCTCAAATTGTGGTCCGTGGACCACCAGTGGTCTGCGAGCTCCATTCATGTGGACCGCGGATAGTTCCCTCTAAAGTGCATGCCTGGGCGGCCGCACACGAGAGAATGAAGGGCCACCCAGCTAATTAGTGGAACCGCGCGGGCGTGGCTCTATTAATTAGGTGTCTGGACCCTGGAGAAGATGCACATGAAAGGTGAGGTGGTGGCCTTGGGGGGAATAGGGAGTAGGTGGGAGGGGGCAGTGAGGTGAGAAGAGGGGGTGGGGGAAATTTGGGACGTGCAGGGCTGCGGTGGCCAGAGAAAGAGGTGACTTTCCCCAGCCCCAGGGCAGTGGCCGCCGGCGAGAAACAGCCCTCCTTCCCAGCTCCGGGGCTGCTGCAGTGGGGGAGAGAAGGCGCATCCATTGCATTAGAAAGGTAAGACTACTGATATTAAAATATGAGTTTTGTGCTTTTATTTGTAGAACTAAAAAACGTTTATTATTATTAAGGTTTTTTTTTAATATAGTACTTTTATCCAAAGCGCTTTACAATAGTTAGCTAACGGTACAAACAACATTTGGAAAGATCATTAAGTGGTCCGCCAAGACCCTCGGCAATTTTCAAGTGGTCCATGGAAAAAAAAAGTTTGAGAATCACTGCCTTAGACCTCTTAGACAGCCACAGCTCCTGACTGACTGCTGGTTTAGCTGTGCTGCTTAAAAGCCTGGCCCCCACAGCAGTTCATAGGCTGCTCAATGCATACTAGACTCACAGCAGTGCTTGCCCTTGTTCCAGTCCTTGCTCCTGCTCATTCCAGTTCCCTGCTCCTGCTTGTCTCAGCCTGCGTCCAGTGTATGCTCCTGCCCAGCTCCCCAGTAGCTTCAGTGTTTTGGTTTCGAACCCTGGCTTTGCCTCTGCTGGCTTATGACTCCAGTTGACCCTTCTGTTCTGGCATTTGGCTTCTGCCCCTCTGGTACTGATAGATCAGCTTGTTTCCTGTACTCCATTCACCCTGGACCCAGCTCTAACTCGTAGGTTGAACTCTTACCTTCACCACTAGGCATGACTGCCCATGGCCTGGTCGGTGACAGACTGGAAATAAGGTGTAATTTTTTTAAGGGTGAGAATAATTAATGATTGGAACAATTTACCAAGGGTCATGGTGGAGTCTTCATTACAACAATTTTTAAATCCAGATGAGTTGTTTTTCTAAACAATATGTTCTCAGAATTTATTCTGGAGAAGTTTTCTGGCCTGTGTTATACAGGAGGTCAGACTAGATGAACACAATGGTCCCTTCTGGTCTTAGAATCTATATTTAGAATTCAATACAATCTTGATATATTGCAGAATTGGTATGACATCAACAGGATGAAACTCAGTAAAGACAAATACAAAATACTGCATTCATGAAGAAAAAATGACAAGTACAAAACGGGGAATAACTAGCTAGGCAGTGCTGAAAAGGATCTGGGGGTTATACTGGACCATGAACTGAATATGAACCCCCTGCTCTAAAGTGCTAGTAACCCCTTCCAGCTTGGTGTCATTCACAAATTTGATAACCATACTTTTCACTCCATTATATGACATTAATTAAAATACTAAATAGCATTGGACCCAGGAACACATCCCTGTGGGACCCCACTAGATATGTACTCCCAGTTTGACTGCAAACTATTGAAAACTACTCTCTGAGGATAGTTTTTCAACTAGTTGTGCATCACCTTACAGTAATTTCATCTAGACCACATTTCCTTAGTTTGCTTATGAGAACATCATGTGGGACTTGTTTTTGTTTTAATGGAGATATCCTATCTCCTAGAACTGGAAGGGATTTTGAAAGGTCATCAAGTCCAGCCCCCTACCTTCACTAGCAGGACCAAGTACTGATTTTGCCCCAGATCCCTAAATGGCCCCCTCAAGGATTGAGCTCACAATCCTGGATTTAGCAGGCCAATGCTTGAACCACTAAGCTATCCCTCCCCCCTTTGACTGCATCAAAAGCCTTAATAAAATCAAGATATACCACATGTATTGCTTCTCTCCTATCCACTAGACGAGGAAACCTGTCAAAGGAGGAAATTAGGTTGGTTTGGTATGATTTGTTCTTGATAAATCCACATTGGCTATTATTTATTGCCCTATTACCCTCTAGGTGCTTACAAATTAATTGTTTAATAATTTGTTCCAGTATATTTGCAGATATCAAAGTTAGGCCAACTGGTCTATAATTCCCCAGGTCCTCTTTGTTCCCCTTTTTAAAGATAGGTACTACGTTTTCCCTTCTCCAGTCCTCTCGGATATCACCCATCCTCCATGAATTCATGAAGATTAATCACTAATGGTTCCAAGACTGCTTCAGTTAGTTCCTTAAAGACCACAGGGTGAATTCTGTCAGGCCCTGCCAATGAAATTATGCATCTAGAGCGCTTCCAAAAATGCCTTCTAAATGGCATTCCACAAAAATGGGATGGGGGAAACTTAGAACTAAGAAGTCATTGACAAGGTTTTAACCATGGGCCTTGCCACCACCTGAATCTTGAAGGCAGTGGCACCCTGTCTGCACAAAAGCTAGCAGCAGCGGTCTTCGCTGAAAATATCCCTGTAGGTTTTTACTGGACGTGAGGGGCAAGAATCTAATGAACAACCAGTTGGGCATAGCTCCTTCAACATTTCAGAGAAGAAAATGTATTTCTATCTTCCTGCACTGATTTTATCTGTGACAACAACCAAATCATCCTAAATCACAGCTTATCTTTTTCAGCAAAGTAGATAAAGATACTCGTAAAACTCAACTCTAAGGCAGCCAGATTAATTAGATTACCAACCAACTTGAACAGTTTAGCTGGATAAAATTTTGCTGATGCTAAGGCAGAAGAAGAGAGACTTCTTTGCCTCTATCAGTCACAGCAGAAGAACGCAAACAATGGCTTGGAAGTTCTAGCGTTCACTGAAAGCAAGAGCTATTTCTCATTAAAATGTAATGACTACTTGTCTGTTGCTTGCTGCAGCCTACCAAAATAAAATTGTGTACAAAGCAAGCATATACTCTTCAAATTCTGTTTGACAAAAGGTACGTGGCATTTCCTGAAAGGTGTGTCATGTAGTGCACACATTTAATACTTACATCAAATTCATTTAGTGCCGCAGCAAGTTCTCCAATACCAGTGTGCCCCTTGTTCTCATCGGTTGGTGAGGTGGCCTGTGCAGCATTAGAGATACCAGCTATTGCTTCTTGTACTTGTTTGAAGACATAATCTCTGTTGGCCCTAGTGGCTGCTACATCAGGGTGACGGAGAAACGCTTGAGATGCCGTGTACAGCATAGTAGCATTCTTCTTCAGAGCACCTCGAGCAGCAGCCATTTCGTCCCTACAGTGAGGATCTTTCAGTTCCTGTACAAAAACATACGTACACTGTACAGTTATATAATGAAACTTTAGCATTAGAATTAGGGTGACTAGACAGCAAATGTGAAAAATCGGGATGGGGGTGGGGGATAATAGGAGCCTATATAAGAACAAGTCCCAAAAATCGGGACTGTCCCTATAAAATCAGGATATCTGGTCATCCTAATTAGAATATGCTACACCCACAGTTACAATGTTTATTCATATATACTCGTAAGTAGGTCCCTGTGGTCCTGATTCTGCAGCAATGGAATCCATCACAGAATTTACCAGTTATGTCACAACAAAATGTTCTTCCTGCCCTAGAAAACCTGTTTTTTGTTTTGTTTTATTTTGTTTTGTTTTTCTTCTATGTTATAACAGGTCGGCCACATGGAAAAATGGAGGAAAATAAGAGGAAAACGCTAACGATCTTAAAATGCAGGAAAACTTCTGGGCAAAACGTCTAAAAGAACAGCAGCAAGACACACAAAAAAGATAGCATGGAATGCTAGTGGACCTCATGGGAAGAAGAAAAAGAAAGAGAGGGTGGCAACTACATGGAAATGTGAATATTCTTAAACACCAGGGAAATTATTAAAAATATTTAAAAAAATATAACTGACGTAGAGAAAATATACAAAATATGTATGAACTAGAAACATGTGTGATGTCAAAAGAAGAAGGAAAGAATCATATCCAGGGTGGAGAAAGAAACACACACAAGGCAATACTCCTGAAAAGTGGCCTTCTCTGCAGTGTGTGTGGAAGTATATTGTTTCTAAATTGTGTTGCACATTAAACATTCTCTGTAAATTGTTTATTGAAATAATACACTGTAGAGATATTTTGCGGCAGCACTATAATCTGTTCTTTTTTACTCTATTAGAAGGTGTGGCGACTGACTGGAAGCAGCATTGGCCGGGAGGAGGCCTAGCTATGAACTGCCTAGTGAATGCACGTGTATTCTCCCTCCTTTATTTCCCATCTCTACAGGAAAATCTACTTTAAAGATCTGTAACAGGGCAAGCCTGCTCTCATTGATTGGGCTGCTTAGGTGAAAGCTATATTCTGAGTGGAGGGGAATGCATAACAGTGAGACCCTATGACGTCTGCCCCTATAAGGACCCAAGGTTGCAGTAATCATCAGCTTTGTGTAGGCTCTAAAAGGGAAAAGTCTGACCTTCTGCACAGACATATGTGATTTCGGATGCTGAATCATTTTTGTCACATTCAGGTCTTCTATTTTTTATTTCTTTGTTAATACAAAAAATCAGATTATCTTTTTAATCATCTGAAAACTAACAATGTTGTTTGTGAGCATTCATAATAAATTCCTGTTCCTTCTGAAATGGAAAGACTCCTGTTACATTAGACTACCAGAGAGCTCTATCCATATGAACAACTTTTTTTTTGTTTAAAAAAAAAAAGGCAAAATTTTTCAAATAAATGATATCTAATGTTAGGCACCTAAATATGTGGGATAATTTTCAGGAGACTAAGGTCCTACCAACTCCCTTTGATTTCCATTAGTAGTGTTGGGTGTTTTGAAAATTAGAGCACTTATGTGATAAATGAAGGGACGGGGGATAGCTCCCTTTTATGGACACCCAGCCAGCCAGTAGCTATAAAATCCCTCTTAGTAACTGTTCTCTAATTGCTCTACCTGTAAAGGGTTAAAAAGTCTCACTGCTATGCATAGGTAAAAGGAAGTGAATGGGCACCTGGCCAAAAGAGCCAATGGGAAGGCTAGAACTTGTTAAAATTGAAACAAGACTCCCCTTTTGTCTGTCTGTGGTTGTTCTCCCAGAGAGAGGGGACAGGGCAGAGCTATGCTGTAAGAAGCTTGGGCCAGGTATGAAAAATCATCAGTGTCATACCTAGAAACTACTCATTTAAAACCCCAGATATGTAAGTAGATCAGGAAATGTCTAGGAAGATGAGATTAGGTTTATTTCTTTTATTTCTTTATGGCTTGTGGATTCCTCTGTGCTAACCCCAGGTGCTATTGTTTTGCTTGTAACCTTTATGCTGGACCTCAAGAAAGCTATTCTTGGGGCTTAATCCTTGTAGTTGTTTCTTTTAAAATCTAGCAATAGCCTGAGTTCCCAGATGTATTTTCTTTCTGTTTTTTTTTAAATAAAATTTACCCCTTTTTAAAAGCAGAATTGGATTTTTGTGTCCTAAGAGGTTTGTGCACATGTTGTTTAATTAGCTGGTGGCAACAGCTGATTGCCTTTGTTTTTCTTTCTTAGCTCTTCCCGGGGGGGGGGGGCAAAAGGGCTTGAGGGTACCCCACAGGAAGGAATTCCCAAAGGTGCCTTCCTGGGCTCTCAAAGGGGTTCTGCACTTGGGCGGTGGTAGCATCTACCAATCCAAGGTCAGAGAAAAGCTGTAACCTTGGGAGTTTAATACAAGCCTGGAGTGGTCAGTATTAATCTTTAGAACCCTTGCGGGCCCCCATCTTCTGTACTCGAAGTGCCAGAGTGGGGAATTAGACCTAACAACTTATTTAGGTGCCTAAATATGAATTTTAGACCATTTTTGAAAATTTGTCAGAACATTTTTGTAAAGAAAATATTATCTTTATAAATAACACTTCATGTAGACCACAATGATCAGATAGTGACCTCCAGTCTCTACTGACCTGGACTGGATTGAAGTCACCACTAAATAACGTAATTTCCTTGGTCATTTACTCTCTTACTCTTTAAGCCATTCTTAATTGAAGCATTGTTTTTCAAGATTTTCCTTTAAAAAAAAAACACTTCTAAAGAAAGGCAACTGTGAATTGGAAAATGAATAGGCTTAAGATATAGGTAACGATATAATAATTATTGACAGATCTGATGATGCAAAACAGAAACAACATTTCTTTGAACACGATAAAAACCCAGGTTATTTTATATGACTGAATTTTCACACCCACTGCTTTACAATTTACCCACCTGTTGTCTTCTAGCAGCCACATAGTTAAGTTTCACCATCTCTTTCCCAAATTCTTTAAAACGATTTGCTAGGTCTTGCTCATTTGTTGCGTTCTTCACAGCTTCCAGTGCTTCTTCTACCTAGAATTTAATAGATGACATTTATTAGAGTTTTAATCCGGCTCTGTCACTTTTCCCACCTTGACCAAGTCACTAACCATTCTATGCCCCAGTTTTTCATAGGCAAATGTGACTCTCAGTTACACCAATGTACAGTAACTCTGGAGTAATTCAACTGACCTCAGTTTGGTTTAATAAAGCTAATACAAAAGCTTTCTCTGAATGTTGTTCTGTATTACTTTCCCTTCTTTGCATGACACTATAATGTATACTTCATATAACAGTCATTAGTTTAGACACTGTCTTATTCAGATATACGTCCTAGATTAAACATGTTTAATATCTGTGTCATTTTTTTTATTGGCCAGGCTTGCCAAGGACCTACATTCAACTGTATGTAATTTCTCTGTTCTCTGTCTGGATGTTGGTCTGTCTGTAACGCAATAACTTATGAATACCATACCCAATCCATTACAAAATTTCAGCGGATATTCTAGGCATCAATGGCCTGAACTCTATTGATTTGGGGGGAAATTGGAAAACCAAAAGGAGAAAAATGGGGGACCACAAGGATCCTGTGTCATCTGATTAGCAGAGTCACAGCTACAATCAGCTCTGCAATTGTCTATAGAGCAAACAACTGGATGATGGTACCATTAATGCCACCCAAGAAAACAATACCCATATCCAAGCTCTGCCTATCCTCCCCATGGAGTTTAATAAGCTGACACCCTGAAGGACTTATCTCCCAGACTGAAAGAAAACTAATAACTACTGTGGGAGCAAGGCGAGGGAGACCTGGGGGATAGCACCCATCTCCTGGCATGGGAGGAAAATTGGGGACTCAGGTAAGGGGGAGGGGGAAGTCTGGCAAAGCAGAGATTGGAGGAGCCTGGCATGGGGGAAGTGGAAAATGGAGGCACACATGGAGTCCCATCAGAGACAAAAGGGTGGGAATGAAGGACCCTGGAATGATGCGAGGAGGACATTGGGGGGAGGCACACGCAACTACTGGTAGGGGGCAGATTGAGAGAATCAGATATGGAGGAAAGGAGCACACAGAACCCCTGGCAAGGGCAAATTGGGGGGAGTTGCAGGAGTCCCTGCAATAGAGAGGGATAGAAGGGTGGCACACAAGGAACTTGTGGGGTGGAATGGAGGGATGTAAGGAGCCCGTGACATGTGAAATAAGTCTAGTCAACAGAAGTTATTAAGTGTGTGACCCTCCAATTATAAACAGAGAGAACAATTTCTTAACTGTGTATGTGTAGTATAGGCTTTATATGAAAACTAAGGGTATGTCTCCTGTAGTACTTTTGTCAGTAAAACTTACATCACTCACAGGTGTGAAAAAACACCCCCCTGAGAGACAAAAGTTACACCTACAGAAGCGCCGGTGTGGACAGTGCTATGTCACTGGGAGACACTCTCCCGCTGGCATAGCTACCACCACTTGTTTAGTTATGTTGGCACAGAGCAGCTACATGGGAAATCTTATAGCGGGGCATCTGCATCAGTACAGCTGTGCCACTGTAAGGTCTCTAGTCTAGACGCGGCTTGAGGCTAATTACAGCATATGGGAACAAATCAAAAGCAAAGAAAATTAAACTTACTGTTGAAATTAAATGTATAGAGTACCCTGTGTTACATAGCTAACATAGCATCTTTTTAAATGTAGTTAAAACAGGAGGCCCAACATGGAAAAGTAACTGTGGCATAAGAACTAGTTTGGGGCTTCATTTTCTATTTTTTCTCCTGTTCTCAAATGTGTTGCATTTACTTTTACATAAAGAGCAGAATTTAATAGAAAAAACACATTCTGCATAGTGATTCAAATTTGTTCAGCAAAAGGGGTGAAGATACGAAGCTCCTAGATGTATTACTAAGTGCCCGCCTAGTACAACTATCCCAAACTTACCAGCCCCAGCATAAAAGCTGCTTACCATCATGATTATAATCAAAAGATTTAAAATGCTTTATTCATCCCGGAAATAAAATTACCCGTCCTGTGAGCAAGTGGGGCAGTGAAATTTTGTGAACTTTTTCTGTCATTTGAGAGATGAGTGAAATTCCCAGCAGATGGGTTTAATCAGTGAATGTAGATCTATCCTGATCTGTCTCAAATTGAATTAATGAAATATTTAACTGGAACAATAGGTGTTGTCAATCTGGACATACCGTTAACAGCAGACACATGAACCTTCCTTTTTCAGAGGAAAGGTTATTTAATTCCAATAGGGACTTGTTCCTAATAAAGGATTTAGAGCTCTATCTTGGTCTCTGTAAAGTCTCTGGCACCTCATCAACGTCAATAACAAGAGCAGGCATCTAATTAATTTAGGCAGGGTTTAAAATATACAGGGTCTGCTTCACCGCTAACTTGTACCTTGTGTTATTTTTACCTTGCAAAGTGAATGTAAAAGGTTAGCACTAGTCCGAGTGGATAATATTCATTCTGTCACGTTTTGCACCCACAAAGGCTGCACAACGTGCAAGGCCACGGAGAATCAGGCTCACGGAGTCCTGCAGAGAAATGCTTTGGCTGGCAATTTAAATGCACAGCTGTTTCCTGGAGGTGTTACGCCACATCTAACTGTTACAAGCTGCACTTTGCTTTTGTGGTCGAATCAATCTGGGCCTGTATCATCTCATTTCTTACCCATAAACTGAACAACGATGTTCAAATCCTAACGGCCATGACAGCTCCCAAAATTAGTATGAAAACTATATTGTATGGTCTAATTTGTTCCTGCTATTTATCTACCACCACTTGAAATACGAACCCTCAAGCTTTCCAGCCATGCAGGTATGTCTACACAGCAAAGAAAGATCCGCGGCTGGCGTATGCCAACCAACTCGGGCTTGTAGGGCTCGGCTGCCGGGCTGTTTCATTGTGGTGTAGACTTCTGGGCTTGGGCTGGAGCCCAAGCTCTGGGACTCTCCCTCCCTACAGAGTCCCAGAGCCTGAGCTCCAGCGCAAGTCCGAAAGTCTACATAGCAATGAAAACAGCCTCAGAGTCCGAGACCCGTGAGCCTGAGTCAGCTGGCACGGGCCAGCCACAGATTTTTCTTTGCTGTGTAGATATACCCACAGAGTTCTTCTTCAGGTCTGGGAAAGGAACTCCCAGAGCCACAGCAAAATGCAAAGTGGAACAGATTGTTTGGCATAAGTAGTTAGCACATATTGTAAGGGACCATTCAAGGTAGAGTGGCCCATTATCACCTGTGCAGTCATAGGAGAAAAAGATGGGGTTACTGGGTTACAGATTGTTGTAACAAACCATAAATCCAGTGTCTCTGTTCAGTCCATGATTTTTGATGTCTAGCAGAGCAATGAATTTAAGCTCCCAGGCTTGTCTTTTGAAAGTGTTGTGGAGGTTTCCTTTGAGGATGAGGACTGATAGGTCAGATATAGAGTGATTGCTTTATGAAAAGTCTTCTGCCACGGGGGATATGGTCTTTTTTATCTTTAATCATTTTCCTTTTGTGAGTTAACTTCAGAGCATAGTGATTGTTTGGTTTCACCCACATAATTGTTATGGTGGCATTTATTCCACTGGATGAGGTATAGTACATGTTGCAATAGGCATGTGTAGTATACATGCATCTTGAAAGGTGTGCTGGGGGCGGGGGGGGGTTTGCTTATTGTAGTAGTGGAGATATAGCTGCAAGTTTTGCATCTATTGTTTTGGCAGGGTCTGGTGCCGCTTTGAGTTGGTGTGCCCTGGTCTGTGGAAATGGTCCCTTACAATATGTGCTAACAACTTACTTATGCTAAACAATCTGTTCCACTTTGCATGTTGCTGTGATGTTGGGGGTCCATTTCCCAGACCTGAAGAAGAGCTCTGTGTGGCTCGAAAGCTTGTCTCTCTCACCAACAAAGTTGGTCCAATAAAAAAGATATGACCTCACCCAACTTGTCTCTCTAATATCCTGGGACTGACACGGCTGCAACTACACTGCCTACATTTTTATCATGACAGCAGGGCCGTCCGTAGCAATTTTGGTGCCCTACACAGCCCCTCCTCCCCCCCGTGGGGGGTGCTGGCCCCAGGCCTCCACGTGGGGGTGGGGGTGAGGGGGCTGGTGCTGATGAGAGACGAGATAAATATTTAAAATTAATCCCAAGCAGTAGTAATTTTTAAATCAATGGGAGCTGCTGGGTATTCTTCACATTTATAATCAGGCAACTTATTTAGGTGCCTAAATAAGTCTGAGCACATATTTTTGAAAATCTTTATTAAAAAAACCAAGTAGATTTAGAAAGCACATAATAGGTCATTAACCACTAGTGTGAATTTATTATAATTCATTAATATTAATTATCAATACATTTCAGGTGAAATATTCAATATTTAACAATGTTTTATTTCTATTTTCAGAAGAATTATAGCTACAGTAAAGTAACACAGAGCCAGTTTGCCCCCACAGGGTGGAACCCTACCTAGGAAGGGATGTTTCCTTGGATCACTCCATCAGGATGGGTGGGAGATTGCCCCCAATGTAATGAGCAGAGGGTCTGGTTCATAGAACCTGTGCCATTCTGTTTCCCACTCTGTCTCCCTGGCGTTTGCCAAGGTCTCCCCTGGCCTACTGTAATCCTGTTCTGTTAAAGGGGAGAGCAGATGCACCACTGTTTGCCAGGGGAACATGAAAATGTGAATATAACACTGAAAAGCTGAAGGTGCTGAAAGCACCTTGGTTTATCTGTTCATTAGCCTAATTTGTATGGCCCAAGAGACAGGTCACTATATCACTGTTCAATATATGCCAAACATCAAGGATACAAAGTAAAGTAGGGATGTAAAGCTGAGAATCCCAGCATCACAGAGAGAGTGAGTGAGTGTGTGTGTGGGTGTGGGTGTGTGTGTGTCAGTTATTTGTAGAGATCATAGAATATCAGAGTTGCAAGGAACCTCAGGAGGTCATCTAGTCCAACCCCCTGCTCAAAGCAGGACCAATTCCCAACTAAATCATCCCAGGCAGGGCTTTGTCAAGCCTGACAAAAACCTCTAAGGAAGGAGATTCCACCACCTCCCTAGGTAACCCATTCCAGTGCTTCACCACCCTCCTAGTGAAAAAGTTTTTCCTAATATCCAACTTAAACCTCCCCCACTGCAACTTGAGACCATTACTCCTCTTTCTGTCATCTGGTACCACTGAGAACAGCCGAGCTCCATCCTCTTTGGAACCCCCTTTCAGGTAGTTGAAAACAGCTATCAAATCCCCCCTCATTCTTCTTCACAAGATATTGGACCTTCAGTTATCTTCACAGGATACTGGACCTTAAATTAACATCATTTCAAATACCATCTTACCTTTTCCCACCCATTTTTGACCTTAGCTTAGAGTTTATTCTACTGAAACTGCTCAGGCTAAAACCAATGTCTTTAAAGCCTGATAAAATCATGGTGCAATTTAAGTGGGTGGGTAGGAAGGGGAAGTAATGGGATGTACAAGACAATAATGAGAAGGACTTGATTTTAAACCCAAGTGTGGTATTCAATTTACTTATGAGAAAGGAATTGATTTCCCTTTCCCAGAAATGTCGGCAGGCCTAGTTCCATCTGACATGGCAAACAGTTCCAGTTTCCACATTCAGTAAGACCTACAATGGCCCAATGAAGTAAAGTGGAGAAAACAAATGATTTATAAAATCAAAAAGATAATGAAGGCCAATTACAATTAACTTTACGGTGCTACTTTTTACTCCAACTAGTATTTAAGAGTCAATATACCTCAGGGAAAGATAGTTAGATTTTACTTGTGCTCATATATTATCAGCAGAACTAAGTAAGTTCAGAATGAAAAAATATGTAGGATTGACAATGACATGCAAGTCACAAATAATGCAGCATGACTTTCAAGACTCCGGTTGAGTTTGTAGGGGTAGAAGTGAAATTTTAAAATGAGAAAATTGTATATGGAAGCTATTGAAAGTCTTTGAATATGGATTTCTAAACTGATATTTTTCACAAAGTCACATTTGAGAATATCCTCATTCTTCAAATAATCTGATAAAGTGATTAACAATCTTTCTGAAGAACACCTACATACATTTACAAATTGATTAAAATGCACTTCTCTCCATAAAGACTGAAGTGCAACTCACTGCCTTGACGTGATTTCAATTAAAACTGATTATAGTACATTTTAGGGTACCTCTTGGATAAATCACCTCTTATAACTCTGACAATGCAAAGTGATTTTAATGAATTAATTTTCAGAGAACTTGAAGTTAAAATCATTACATACTTTAAATCAGTCTTTGTACATTAGTTGAAAGTTGATATTAATGCTGTTCCATGTGTGACAACTACCACCATCAATCTTTGGCCTTTTAATGCCAAAAAGTGGCCTAAAGCTACTTTGGTCTCAAAAATAATATAAAATAATAATAAGGTGCAAATATTTGCATTGCCCCTCTCTCTCTTGGAAAGTAAAAGCAACGGGTGTTCTTTTAAAGCTGTAAAAATGATGCAAAATGATCAAATGCAAAGTTAAACTTTCAAGTGCTTAAACACAATCTTAACAAAAATCACAGGAGACAAAAATACATGAAAATAAGGGTGCATGTTCTTTGAAATAATTTCTTGGATGATTTGCAAAAGCTACAAAGTATGTTGATATATGCTGGCTTGAGAATCCACAGAGACAAAAATGATATGAGAAAATTACTAAACAGCACCCATTTACAAAAGATCATTTGGAGAATGCTACTCTAAGCAGTATATCATACTACTTCCAACAAAGGAATTTATCAACACGGAAAGCCAAAAAATTCTGGATTCTGCTCAGATACAAGAACAAATGATCCTTCACCTTTGAAATGGTCTGGATAAGAATTTGAATTGTAGTGTACACACAGGCAATCTCTTACTGTTAAAATTAAGAGTTAGAAAGTCTCCACTGACAAAGCATTGCCTGAATTAGAATGTTGTTCATTATTAAGTTGAAAAAATGAAGGCATATTCGAGAGTCACACTGCTTACACAGCACATAATCACGGGGCAATGTGCTGACATTTTACTACGATAGCACTGCATTCATTAGAGCAGTGCTTTCTAGCATTTGTACAGAAAAGCATTTGCCATTTTTCATTGTAGACTCTGTTTTCAAAGGATTAAAATGTGTCTCTACAATCTCTTCCAGGCTAAAGGTTCTCATATATCTCTGCAAGAGAACAATATCTACAATTTAAAAAAAAAGGGGGGAGGGGAGGGGGAGTACCTTTTGGGCCATTTATCAATAAAATAAACAAGGTTTTAAACATTATGTATATGCATTTTTACACCTAGGGTGGTGGGGTTTTTTTTAATTAATATTATTATTATTTCTTTTTCTTCTTCTTTTTCTTCTTCTCCCTCCTCCAGATTAGCAAAAACTAGCCATGTGATAAAGACCAAGAGAAAAAGCAATCATTAAGCTGGGTATTGACAATTATAAAACACTGTTGTATGCCTTTACAGACAGGTAGATAGGCAGCAGCAAAAGCAGAGTACAAATCTACAGCAAATCATTTGCTAATCTACATGTCCTCTCTGCTATTTTTTTTCATTTTTGAATACTCATTAGACACATATCCTGCTTCTAATCCCAATCAATGCTCCACCCTTGTGATACATTCCGTAGTCATAGAGAAGCACCTGACACGGCACAACAAAACTGTAGTACTTAAATTCTGCCACAAGATAGCAATACTCTACAACTACTGTGCATTATTAAACCACTGGCATGATTGTGATTTAAACGTGGCTTTTAGTCCAGCATGGTACACAACAGCAATACAAATACAATCTATCAGAAGTACCTAGCGATAATGATTTTAACTCTCCAATACATTAATTCATTTAGATTGAACATATAAGGGTCTAAAAAGTAGAAATGTATTATATTCTAGTTCCACTTTAGTGCTTCCACAAGAACAGCAACTACAAAGACAATAGAAAACTTGTGAAACTTGGACTTTTGTTTATAATTTATAATTTCAACACATCTTAAACGAAGAAAACGGTGTAGAAAATTAAAAAGTCGTACAATTTTCAGGTGGGACAAAAGCCTCATGACATCAGCCATATCAGCCAGGATGAGTAAGCGAGTAACAGCCGACAGCAAGGCCCGAGCAGCCCGCACCATGGTGCCTCGTTTCACGGAGGAACATGGATCATCAGCAAACTCTGAAGAGGCAATTCTCATTGTTTCACCTACAATACAATAAAATAAATTTGATTACACAAAAGTTTTACATTTACACCACCTAGAAAAACAAACAATTCCCTGAATTACTTAACTGTTGCTAGCCAGGAAGGAATTTAGTTTTTGGTTTTGGTTTTGCAGTAGTGGGTTGCTGAAGAGAGGGGTTCTGTGCAAAGTGTTTTAGAATCTCAAAATGACCTGGGATGATCAGGTCAATTACAACAAGCTGCACAGGAAGTAGCTATGCATTTGGCAGACTACTCAGCAACCTTCTCTACGCAGACTACACTCCCTACTGTATTAATCTCTTCTGTTTCTATTGCAGCCCCCTGCTGCAGAACTAGAAGAATAAGATACCAAGACAAACTGTTGAACAGCCACCTGCAGAGATATTCACCATAAGGTTAGAGAAGCTGCTATTGGAGAGCTGTAGGAAACATAAAACTCACCTCCTTTTATGCGGATGGACAGAGTCAGAGACTCATTAGGTTGATTCCAACTGAAATATGCAGAATTTCCTCCCATAAACAGATTTTCTAATCTACTCCCATTGTAGCTATCTTTCCCCTATGAAGGGCTCCTATCCTACTATTACAGAAGTAACCACCTTCTATGCAGACTCACCTATCCACTTTCTCTCTGCTCCCAACTTTCCCTCCCATTTCTACATTACTTCTTGACCAGCTCCCACTACAATTATCTTCCCAAGTTTCTACCGCTCATTTGCTCCTGGTGCCCTGTTCATATAGCCAGAGATCCTGAGCTGATCTTCCCCCCATAGCTATCAATCCTGTTTATAGATTTCTCATGCCATTACAATTACCTGTACAGATGCCCCCGGGTTAGGCAAAATCCCTGTAATGAACCCACTTCTCCAGTCCTCCCTCTGCATACTCCCCATCTTAATCTACACTTGTTTCACTTAAGACACTTCTCCCAATGGACTTGACAGAACTCTCTCTTTCTTTAAGCTACTTGTTAGAGACTTAAAACACGGAGGACAAAGTCCTCCGCTTACAGCACATGGATTTATAGTATTATTATTTGTTAAACTTCATTCAATATGCTAAAATAATGCTTTTGATCATTTTTTTTATTTTGTTTAGTGTCTAGATAATGTAATAACATTCCTTATTATTATTAATTATATTATTATTATTAAAGTGCCAAAAGTGTTCTAGGTGCTTACCAGACTACTGAAAACAGATCTGAAGAAGACCTCTGTGGAGCTCAAAAGCCTGTCTCTTTCACCAACAGATGTTGGTCCTACAAAATATGTTACCTCACCTGCCTTGTCTCTCTGCTAAGATGAAATCTTTTAGAACAGAGGATGAGAGTTTATAGGTAAGGCTCTGTGTTGGTCACGGAGGTCATGGAAGTCATGGATTCTGTGACTTTTCGTGAGCTCCGTGACTTCTGCAGCGGCCCTTGCGGCTGGCCCGGGAGCCACCTGAGCAGCTCGGGCAGCCCCTGGGCTCATTGCTGTCAACTGAAAAACAATGAGAAAAATCAGAACATACCATCTTCCCAGTTCTGGCAGCGAGAGCAAGAGTACATTCTGAAAGTAAATGCCATTATAGAGAAAATTTCATTGGTGAGATGACTAATCTGTGGCCCTCTCTAAGAACAAAAATAACAGGTGACAATGTTTAAGGCTCTCAAAGTATTCAAAAGTAATTGAGTCCATTTATGGAACATTGTTAAGGCCCCATCTATACCTCAAACTGGAACCATATTGTAACTGCACTGGGTGAAAATAATCATCCTCTAACCCAGCAAGATATGAAGTCAAGTTCCTATTCTAGTTGCCTTTTCAAATTCACTATTACCCAGCTGAATCCCAAATGTCCTGCTGTATCTCCTTGTGACTTGGTTTTCCATAATCTATAACTTGCACAGCTTTTTTTTTTCTTTAACTACTGTAGTAAAAAGGGAATTAACAGTATTTAAGATCACATTTTATATTAACATGCATCCACTATTGCTAAAAGATTTTCAGTTTGTTCCAAATTTATCTCCAGTGTAGAGACTCATGGGAGACTGTTCCTAATGTGGCGTCAGACCTTACTTCCACTGTCTTTATGACCATTAAAACAGCATTCAAAGAAATCTCTGAAGACAAAACTCCCCAGCAGACAATACAAACAATGTGTAGGGGAGGCGTTCATATTCTCATTGAAGAATTCCCACTGGGACTTCCTTCCTTTACTATACCACTGTTAGGCCTAATTATTGTTACTGTAATTTGTGTGCAAAGCATCTAGGGTGTTAAGTAAGGAATGTACAGTCTAAGTGCATACATAAAGATTCCAATGGTTTATTTCTCTTACTGTCTCTATTTTGCAGCAAGACTATCCAAGACACAATTTGTTGGATTTCCAAAAAACTGCCAAAACTCATAACAGAGACTCATAAAAATTCTTTGTAAGAGTAAAAGAGAGACAACAAAACTAACTCTTAGAAGCCAGTTAACAGCTTATACTACATATTAAGCAAAATGAACTATGTGAAAGAAAACTACTAAGCTGAATAAAGCAGTGGACAATATTTCTGAACCAAAGAGATTCAAGAAATTTCACCTTATGAAAAATCCTCCTATGGGATCTCCCCTCCCTCATTTCCAAATATGACACCACCCGAAGACAACTCACAAATATTTATAACACAAAATGACCACATAGCCATCTTTAAAGGAAAGGTGCTGATAGCTGGATGATTGCCCCCCTTTCTGTCCTGAGTTAGTAGGGGTTGCTGTGTGGCTACACAGCCAAACTGGCAGGCACAAGCTCTACACAGACTTACAATTAAGCTTCACAGTATTCCTGTGCAATAAAGTAGGTACAGTAAGTACTATCCTCATTTTATACATGAGGAAACAGTAACAGAAAGAAGGTATAGCCAACTTTTTTTTTTAAATATGACCTTTTTAGGTGCCCCTCTTGAGACACCTTTTGTCTGGTTTGACCTTTAAGTCCCTGCTTTTAATCCATCTGCAGAAACCTGAGTGTATGCAACACACTCCCTCCCAAACCCCAAATTATCCTTGCATGCATTGGTGTTGGGAATTGGCAACTACAGCACATGGGGGTTTCCAACTACATCCTGGATGGGATTCCAGACATCTTATCTCATGTGTGCAGCAGAACAACATTGGCTCCACTGCCTTCAGGTTCCTCCAAAGCTAGTTGTGGGATGGGAAGTGAGATTTTTCCCTGTACAGGAAAGTGCAGGATTTCCAAGGGCATTTTAATGCAAGGTTTGGCTTAGTTTGAGGAAGTATTTTAAACTTGCAAAACCCATTTGTCCAACAGCAGGAAAGTGAGAGGATACTTGAATGAGTTACTACTACTTATGAATCTTCATAATACTTTATTCCAAAGACTGCCAGCAATGACATATCTAGGTTTAAAAAAATGTTCCAGCTATTTAATTGTGAATTGTTGTATTAATTTAGATGAAATATACTAGCCAAAGGTTAACATAATCTAGTCACTGTGCAACATTAAACAGTGTTAATCAAGGTTCAGGGTTTGGTATATAGCGATCTCAGCTTGCTTAATACAACTGAAAATGCACTCCTAAAAATCTTTTTTAAACCTTCTATTAAACATACAGTAATTAAAATGATTACAACAGGACACTTAATATTCCAAAGAAGTTTAACTGGATTTATATTAGAGATTTCTGTTCCAAAGTACAAATTCAATATTATGTCTTATATTTAAATTAGCAGGACAAGGCAGTGTTGCTATGTCAGGGAGAACCAGGGTTTGAAAAGCCAGCTCCTAAGCGCCCAAAGGAGCTAGTGAACAGGAGCAGCAAACGGGAGTTTTGTGAGGGAGTTTAGAGAGAGAGCATGAGAGCCAGATACAACTAATAAACAGTCTCTAAACTTAGGCCAATAAATTCCCCCTCAAAACAAACAAACAAAAATAACCCAGTAAGAGCTAAAATAATGCAGGCAAAAGCCCAGCACCAGAGTGGGGGGCTATCAAGTTTATTGCACTGAATGTGCCCTGTATAATTACCTGCTTTTTGGGCAGATGGAATATGTATGCATTCAATGCAAGCAGCTCATGGCCCTCAGAGACCACATATGGGCTCTGGAAACCAGAGTGGCTGAACTGGAAGAGATAAGGGAGACAGAGAGAAACATACAAAAGACTTTCTGGGACAAAATAGAGAGGTCCCACTCCTGCAGTCTGACAGCCTCTGTGCAGTTGAGGAGGATGAAAGTCTCAGGAAAGGAGAACATCAAGGTGGAGTGGAGGGAAATGATCACATTGTTGGGACCCTACCTCCAGATTAAGTCATGATTTCTTTTCGCACTGAGGATACGTCTTCGAGGGAAGGGATCCCGGTTATTAGGAACAGACAGGTAATAGTGATGCTGGTTTTCAATTATTAGAAATATAGATAGTTGGGTTTGTGATGATTGGGAGAACTGCACAGTGAATTACCTACTGGGTGCAAAGGTTGTGGAGCTCTCACAACAAGCTAATGTGCAGTGCTGGGGAGGAGCCAGCTGTCGTGGTACATGTAGGTACCAATGACATAGGGAAGAGGTTCCAGAATACAAATTTAGGCTTCTAGGTAAGAGATTACAGTCTAGAGCCTCCATGGTAGCATTCTTTGAAAAGTTTCCAATTCCACAAGCAGGGCCAGCTAGATAGGCAGATCCGCAGCATCGCAATGTATGGATGAGACAATGGTGAAGGGAGGAGGGCTTTAGGTTTATTAGAAACTGTTGGGAAAGGAGGAGCCTATACAGGATGGGCTCCACCTAAACTAAAACAGAACCAGATTGCTGGCATGTAAAATTAAAAAGGTGGTAGAGGAGTTTTTAAACTAAGGGCTGGGAGAAAGCCAACAGAGGAGCATATGGTTTGGACAGACACATCCCTTAGGCAAGGATTTATTAAAGGGTATACTCTATATTCGAGTAAAGAGGAGAGGAGGGAAGTTAATTAAGTACAGTTTGGAACTGAAGAAAACAGTCAAACAAACA